TTTTATTTCTGAGTTCCCAGTTGATCTGTAGCCCATTTTTCTAAAGGGTTCCTTACCTTTTTCTTAACAGATTATTGAAACCCTTTATTATTTGGTTAGTACTTTTTTTTTTTTAAGTTAATATTTTGTAATACATGTTGTGAGTACTTTTTTTTGTTACTTGTCTCTTTGTTCTGTTATGGAAATTTTAATTCTTCTGGTTAGAAATACCTCCATTTTTTTCTGGGTTTCTTATCCTGTTAGCTTCCTTACAGAAAAACGCTTTTTCACAGTAACCAGTTGTCTCTCATTTATTCTCCCTGCTAATAACTTCAAAAACTTAATGTCACTTCTACTGTGGTTTGCTTTGATGGCATCACAGATCCTTTGATATAGAAAACTGGATTTTTGAGCTACTCAAAACTTAGGGCTACCTCTCTCCCCCACCATTTTCTATAAGTAGAAATTGAAGCCCAAGGAAGTTTGTTTTGTCAGACAGTCACAGAATTAGTGGCAGATCAAGGACTAGAACCCTGTTACACCATATTACTTCATGAGGGTTAGTAGAATTGCGTTCTATATGAAATTGTGTTTCTAATCCTGAATCTATCTGAAGAAAAACATTTAAAACATTCTTTTTTTGTGATCGTCACCCCCTCCCTATCCTGGCACTTTTCAGAGCACTTTTTAAAATCAGAACAATTTGTATGCCTAAAATTATGCCATTCTGCTTTCAGTCCTAAAATAAAAATTGATATACTTTTACTTTCAACCTAACAGCAGCAGCCGCTCTTCTAAAACATTCAAACCAAAGAAGAATATCCCTGAGGGCTCTCATCAGTATGAACTCTTAAAACATGCAGAGGCAACTCTAGGAAGCGGGAATCTGAGACAAGCTGTTATGTTGCCAGAGGGAGAGGACCTCAATGAATGGATTGCTGTTAACAGTAAGTTTTTAATAATATTCAGCATTGCTGATTTATAGGAACAATTTGCTAAAATCTTTTTGTTAATGAATTTTCTTTTACGGGTATAACTGTTGTAGTGTAATGGATTACCTGTAAAGAAACTCATAAGTACAAATACATCTAAAACTCTTGTTCTCTTCAGAGTACTTGGTTATGTAGCTTGTGTGGCTGATTTCTCACCAGAGGAGAAATGTTGAGTGCTTTGGGGTAATTTCTGAGGATAGAATGGTAGGAATTATTGGGTAGGATCAAATAAAAGATTAGAATACAAAATTCTACCTGTAGTGGACTGTGACTTTGTAGGGAGCCCGTCTGCACAATTGCATCCCCCTCTCCCAGCAGCTCTCATCTGCCTGCATATACACAGAAGTCAATTGCCGTTCATAGGAGTAGTCACTTGATTGTTGTGACTTAGGAGTAGTCAGAAGGAAATTGAGAGACTGGGAGAAAATGGGAGGGACCCATGAGCTGAAAGTCACTTGAGTTCAAGAAAATAAGGGCATGACGTGAAAAGTTATATATACTGAGGCTAGAGATTTGAATATTTGAGCCTATCATTCCTGAGGTGAGATTAGTGCCCGGTGATAAGGTTTAAATCTGTCAGGAATTTTTAAACTTAATGGAAAATTTCAAACATACAAAGTAGAGAAACTAGTAGAGTGAATTCCCAGGCATCCATTGTCCAGTTTCAACGGTTGGTTCCTGGCCAATTCACGCTTCTATATCTCACCCTGATTTTTTTCTTTTCATATTTTAATTCCTCCTTCCCCTCTCCACCTCCCCCCATTCTTCCTGTCTCTCCCCTGGTTGGTTTCATGCTGGCAGTGAGACCTGGCCAGCCCACCTCACCCTGATTGTTTTGAGGTGAATCCCAAACATATTGTTTCATCTATAAATATTTCATATCTCTAAAAGACAGGAACTCCCCCTTTTAAAGATAATGACAATACTGCCATTCCTTTACGTTAGCAAATATCTAGTCAGTGTTCACATTTTCCCTGATTGTCTTCTAAATGTTTCTTTTTTAAAAAAATTTATGGTTGGTTTAAATCAGGACTAATAAGGCCTATATGTAATGTTTCTTGATTCTCTTAATTCATAGGTTTCCCTCATTGCAGTCTTTCTTCCTTGCTATTTTGTTGTTGTTGAAGAAACCAGTTCATTTATTTCCCACAGTATGAATTTTGTTGATTGTGTCCCCAAGGCATCCATTATCATGTCCTGTTCTTCCTTTTATTTCCTGTAAATGATAGATCTAGAGCAGCACTGTCCAATAGAACTTTCTGCAATGATGCAAATGTTCTGTATCTGTACGGTGGCCATTTAGCTCCTGAAATGTGGCTAGTGTGACTGGAACTGAATTTTAAATTTAATTTTAATGTAAGTAGCCATATGTGGCTAGTGGCTCCCACATGAGCACAGATGTGGAGCTTTGCTCAAATTCAGGTTTGATTTTGTTTGTTTGGAAGACTACTTTATAAGTGGTGGCATATAGTAAGTTTTTAGCCAGCAGTGCCAGTGGTGGCACTTCCAACAGTGTCCATAATGTCCTCCATAGTGTCTAGCTGTCTTTCTTGGTGGTATTATTCAGCTGTTGATAATCACTCCTTTGATCAGCACTGTCTGACAAATATAATGTGAGCTACAAATGTAATTTGAAACTTTCTAGTAACCATATTAAAAATTTTTTTTGTTTTTTTTTTCAGTACATTAAAAAGCCATTATTCGTATTACTAGGAGAAAAAACAAGGTGCAGAACTACGTGATATGTTAAATCTTTTGTGTAAGACAGGATACAGGTGCTTAGGGGGCAGGAGACGAAAAAAATAATGTAGTGGTTATCTGTAGGGGGAAGCTAGAGTGGTTGGGATTAAGATTTATCACTATATGTTTTTATAGATCTTTGTGAACCATGTGAAGCCTCATATATTCAGAAAAGACCTTCCCCTGTTTTTTTGTTGTTTTTTTTTTAACCTTAACTCAAATTACCATCTGTTATCTGAAGGCATCTGTTGGCCTTCTTCGGCCTTCAGTTTTTCTTTGAGACTTTTTGCTTTAGATAGGCTGTTCTCCAATGTGACTAAGCAAAAGAAAGGTTTGTAAGTGAGGGAATTTTATATAAAATTCCTTTTGACAAGACAGCTTTTTTTATCTATTTGTTTTTTAAGAAATGTGGAAAAGCCCTAGTTGGTTTCTAGGTACTCCTTTAGACGGGGAACTAAAACATTTTTTAAAACTTTCCAAGGCTTATGTGGGTGTCTTTGCAGAGGAACATTTGACTCAGATAGGTTCATTACTTACCCCTTCCTCTTCCATTTTCTTCCATATCTAGCTGAAGCTCCTGTAGGAAGTGCTTCCTGACTACCTCAGCCCCTCAAGATGCTGCCTTTTCTCTCAATTCTTATATGTTGTATTTATTATTCCTTTCAATTTTGTCCCTTCAGATAGCTGGAGTCTCCAAGACAAGGGACATTATCTCATGTCCTTTTTGCGTCCTCAGTATGCATTAGGCTTCAGGCTTTTTATGATAAGATGTTTTAAATGCCTGTTAATACAGCTGATACACCTTCTCCTTCACAGGATATTTATTCTACAATGCTCTCTGCTTTTTCCCAGCACAAATGGTATTGTCTGGTCCAGACTGATAGGAAGCAGTGGGTTTTTTCATTCCCTTGGATATAATCAGATTATATATTCTAATGATACAGTAGTCACCGATAAGTTAGAATTATTATAAGATTTTATTTTCCTGCTATTTTGTGCTGGCTAAAAACTTACTATATTAAAGTGAATATATATTAAAAGTTAATTTAGGTGTGACAGCTTAAAAGGAGAAGGGAATTTGCAGTACCCCTGGATCATTGCATCTCTTAAGGATTTATTCAAGAACTTGAAGGCATTGTCCATTTTTCCTTCAACCGAGAGGTCTGATGTTTTTTTGTGTTTGCACAAACATTTTAACACAGTTCTGGTATTACGTTTCCAGCTGTGGATTTCTTCAACCAGATCAACATGTTGTATGGAACTATTACAGAATTCTGCACTGAAGCAAGCTGTCCAGTCATGTCTGCAGGTCCAAGGTACATATACTGCCTATTAGATAGGTATTTGAAGTACTAAATAAAGCTAATCACTAATTGATATAAATTAAACAATAAAGCCTTTTTGTTTTTCTTATCTGTTTGCTTGTGTAAAAGCAGTTCAATTTTATGAGTTCTTGAATACGTCCCTATAAGCTTTTAGTTATTATTAAATACTTTGGTATGTGGTACTTAGTATTTAATTGTATTATGCTAAATAATGAATGTTCAGTTTTTTTTCTTGTGCTTATTTAGTGTTAATTATGTCCAAATTGTGCTGCTTTAATTATCTGGCTTAAAGATGCTAGATTGAAAAAATTTGACTACAGTGGTGCCTGGGTGGCTCAGTTGGTTAAGTGGCCAACTCTTGATTTCTGCTCAGGTCGTGAACTCAGTGTCATGGGATCAAGCCCCATGCACTAAGCAGGGAGTCTGCTTGAGATTCTCTCTCCCTCTCCTCCTCCCCCTGCTTGTGCATGCACGTGCACCCTCTCTTTCTCTCAAATAAGAAGAAATTTGACTATTATACATTTTAAGAAACATTAAGAAACGTGGAACTCTTTTATCACCCATAATGTTAAGTCAAGGTATGATGGGATTAATGTTTTAGTGTTTCTTTCCAGTCTTTTTTTCCAATAATAAATGACTAATTTTATGTGATGATACATGGTATCAAGATATTTACCCCTTGGGAAAAAATTGCCTTTCCTGAATTTGCTACAGGTATAACGGGAAAAAAGGTCTCCAGTGAGTTTCTAGTTCTGTTTTTAATTACAGTATTTTGGAGGGATATTTTTATTTTGTGTTAAGTTTTATTCCTCAAACTTCCTGAAAAGAAATTTAAATAAAATAAATAAAATTAAACTTATCTATGGCTTAAATGCTTCACACAGTGAAGTTTAGCAGAAGTCTTATTATGCATTTTAGCTCAGCAAAGGGAGGGAAGAAAAGATGCATGCATGCCTAAGGGTGTTTCTTTAGTACCCTCTCCAGGAAACCGTCTTTTTTAAGATTTTGGATTTTTTTTTTTCCAGTTGAATTTATTTTATTTATTTTTTAAAAGATTTTATTTGTTTGAGAGAGCACAGGAGAGAGAGAGAGCACAAGTGAGCGAGAGAGCATAAGCCGGGGGAGGGGCAGAGGCAGAGGGAGAAACAGACACTCCGCTGAGCAGGGAGCCTGATGCGGGGCTCCATCCCAGAACCCTGGGATTGTGACCTGAGCCAAAGGCAGATGCTGACTGAGCCACCTATGCGCCCCCAGGAAACAAGAGTCTTATTATCTTGACTCTGTTGTTGCTACCTTGATGGCCAGCTGTTGCAGGATATAGGGGATCCATCTGTCTCTGACCCAGTCCTCAGCACCCTCTGCCAGGAATGTGTAGTTCCTTTATCTTTCCCAGGGCTGTGTTAAAAAAAAAAAAAAAAAATCCATTCTGGCACTGTCAGCTGCCACATTATCCTCCTTTTCTCTTCCAATTATAACTATCCTATTTCAGGATAATTCTATAGGGAACTCTGATAACCTTCAGTAGAACTTGAGGTAATTTACTAAGTTATATATAACTTCAATTGACAAAATGTAGACCTACTTTTATTACAAGTTGTACATTTGTTACTGCTTTTGAAAACTCTGTAAGTAAAACCTTTTTCTCTCCAGATACGAATATCATTGGGCAGATGGTACTAATATTAAAAAGCCAATCAAGTGTTCTGCACCAAAATACATTGACTATTTGATGACTTGGGTTCAGGATCAGCTTGATGATGAAACTCTTTTTCCTTCTAAGATCGGTGAGTTAATGTTGAATGTTTTCCTTTTTAACTGATAAATATGTTGCATTCTTTTTAATACTCTGTTACTTAAAAAAAAATGTAATAAAGGCTGCCAAATTCCTCTCCAAAAAGATTGTAAATGCATACTCCCTCTAGCCATGTTTGTGTCTGCCTGTGTTTCTTCACTAATACTGGTTGGCTACTCATTTTTTAATCTTTTCAGTTTGGGTAAATAAGTTTGTTTGAATGTACATTCAAAAAATATTGATGACATTGAGATTTTTTGGTTTATTAATCTTTGTGTTTTCTGTTTCTATCCTTTGTCTATTTCTTTGTATGGTAAGGATGTTAGCTCTTTGACATATAATATGTATCTTTCCCCAGCTTGCCTTTTTTCTTACTTTGTTCATGAGGTATTCTTGCTGTAACTTTCTTATTTGTCCTATTAATTTTTTCCTTTATGTTGTGTGGATTTTAATATAATGATTAGAAAGGTTTTCCCTACTTCAGGATTATTAAAATATTTGCCCTTGTTTTCATTTAGTACTTTTGTGGTTTTGTTTTTACATTTAAATCTTTGTTCTTGCCAGAAATTTTTTTCTTAAGGCTCCCTTCATTTTTTTTCTAGTTATAAACGCGAATCAGTTTGTCCAGTACCATTTATCGAATACATGTGTCTTTTCTCCCTGGGTTATCATATGTGTACACCAGATTGCCACATAATTTGGAGTCTTTCAGTCTCTTTATCTGTTCCTATAGGAATTCCACACTATTTTAATTACCATGGCCATATATCTGAGCATCTTGTAGGGCTAGTCTCTCTTCCTTGCTCTTCTTTTTCAGAATATTCACAGCTATTCTGGGATATTTGTTCTTCCAAAGAACTTAGAACCATTTTGGCAAGGTAAAATAAAAATATTTGTGAGATTTTGATTATTTCATTCAAGTTGTAGATTAACATAGGCAGTCTTGTTCTCTTGACAATACTGGGTCTACTCAAGAACAAGGTACATTTCTTCATCTTTTTTATTTCCTCTTGTAAAATTCTGTAGTTTATGTTAATCCTTCAAGTTTAAGTTTATTCCTAGACATTTTGTAGTTTTTTTCATTGACATCTGGCTTCCAGACGGTTATTGTTTAGTATATAGGAAAGCTATTGATTTTTCTGTAAAATTTTGTATAAATTGACCATCAGATTCTGATTGTTTCAGTTGTTCTGGGTTGGTTTTCTTGTTTTTTAAGTATACAGTCACATCATATTAAGGTAATATTAATTTTGCCTCTTCCTTTCTGATATGGATGCTTCTTGTGTAATTTTTTTTTTTTTTTTACTGATATGGAAAGATATTATTCTGTGTTCTTTTTTTTTATGTTACGTTAATCACCATACATCACATCATTAGTTTTTGATGTAGTGTTCCATGATTCATTGTTTGCGTATAACACCCAGTGCTCCATGCAGAACGTGCCCTCTTTAATACCCATCACCAGGCTAACTCTCGTGTAACTCTTATCTCATTGCCCCAGAGTAGTGCTGAGTAATGATGATGATGTGGCAGACCTCCTTTTCTTGTTTCCTTACTTTTATGAAAGTGCTTCTAGTACTTCAGCATTAAGCAGGAATCTTGCTTTTGGTTAGAGGTGTGTAAATTTTTAAAAATCAGGTATGGTTGTTGAGTTTTATGATATTTTCCCAGTGTCTGTTGTTGGTTACCATAAGGTTTTCTCCAGTATCTTTTTTTAATGTTTCACTGGAAGAGTATTTTTTATTTGCTAATATTTTGATTAAGATTTTGACATTGGTATTTATGGATAAGATCAGTGTTTTCGTTTTCAGTATTAAGAGCTTCTTACAAGTAACATGTTGGATTCTGTCTTATCTGTTTGGGCTGCTAATAACAAAACTACCAGAGATTGGATGCCTTATGACAACAGAAATTTATTTCTCAGTTCTAAAGGCTGGAAGTCCAAGATCAAGGTGCCTGTGAAAGCCCATTTTTGGGTTGCAGACTGCCGACTTCTCAGTCTTCACATGGTGGAAGGAGCCAGCAGATGTTCTCGGGGGCCTCTTTAATAAGGGCATTGATCCCACTCATGAGGGTTCTGCTCTTGTGACATAATCACCTCCCAGAGCCCCATCTCCTAATAGCATCACCTAGGGGGTTAGGATTTCAACATAGGAATTTTGAGGGGACACAAATATTCAGACCATAGCAGATTCCTTTTTGCGGTTTAATCAGTGGCTCTTTTGGGAGAAGAACTTGTATCATGTTACACTCCATCTGTTTGCTGTTGGTCACATTTTCTATTTTATTACTAAACTGCTTATTTCCTTTCTCACAGATTCTTTATTGTAATTGTGCTTGGATGTTTCTGTTCAATTCAGCTTGGAAAATGCTTGGTTTAAGACAAATTACTTCTGTTTCTTTATTCATTAAAGTCTTATGCTTATGGAAGATAAAGAATACTTAAAAGTTTGTTCTCTTTTCTCAGCATTCCATTCTTCAGTAATCCAGCCTAATGTTCTGGAAGCCTTTTCCCCCCCAGTTAGGCTATTATCAACATCTTACTTCTGCCAGTTATTTATTATTAGATAGAACTGTTACTCATTTTGAACTAATACATCTAAATTATTACTGTTCCTCTTATTAGCAAGATGCATATTTGTAAATTCTAAGAGAAGGAGTTTGACTTAAAAATCCAGCTTTTCAATATATGAGTACAAGACCCCAGTCCAGAAAAACATGCCCACAAGTTCCAGAATAAAGTTTGAAAATGCAAGTTGTTAGGGGCACCTGGCTGGCTCAGTCAGTAGAGCATGTGACTCTTGATCTCCAGAGGTCTTGAGTTCAAGCCCCACGTTGGGTGTAGAGCTTACCTTAAATAAATAAAGTTTTTTTTTTGTTGTTTTTTTAAGATTTTTTTCATTTATTTATTTGACAGAGAGAGACACAGCGAGAGAGGGAACACAAGCCAGGGGGAGTGGGAGAGGGAGAAGCAGGCTTCTCGCGGAGCAGGGAGCCCGATGCGGGGCTTGATCCCAGGTCCCTGGGATCATGACCTGAGCCGAAGGCAGACGCTCAACGACTGAGCCACCCAGGTGCCCCTTAAATAAATAAAATTTTTTAAAAAATGCACATGGCAGTTGCTAGCCAAGATGGGGTGGGGGTGGGGGACCAGAAAAATTAGCTCGCAGGAGCAGAATACACTAAATTTCAAGCTTTTTTTTTTTTTTTTAAGATTTTATTTATTTATTTGACAGACACAGCGAGAGAGGGAACACAAGCAGGGGGAGTGGGAGAGGGAGAAGCAGGCTCCCCATTGAGCAGGGAGCCCGATGTGGGGCTCGATCCCAGGACCCTGAGATCATGACCTGAGCCGAAGGCAGACGCTCAACGACTGAGCCACCCAGGCACCCAAATTTCAAGCTTTTAAGGACTGGTTAAGAAATAAATTAAAATGCAGGCAAGGAGAAAGTGTTTCAACCTTTGTTTTCTGAAAGATTGAAGAAAAGGAAATGTTTCTTGAGTAATGTTGTGGAATAGCCTTTAAGGCTGTCTAATCTAGGTTATTTTGGAAGCTGATGACTTCTTAATGTGTTTATATACTGTACTCAGTGCCACTTGTATTGTCTTTCTCCTGTCCCTGTTTCCTAAGACTTTGATCTTGTCAACCGGAATTCTCAGGAACGTGACCAGAGAGAGATTACCAAACCCTCTCCCCATTCTTTTCTAAGGAAGTGTTTATTTTCTTTGCAAAATAGTGAGGCGCTCTTCCTCCCTTTTTCAGGAAGTTTGTCCCTATCTTGTATTATAGGAAAATGAAAATAGCACTTTGAAAATCTAAGAAGTTGGGGACTCCTTGATTTAAGAAAGAAAACTGGTTTTTCAGGGTAATTCAGAAGATAAAATACTTTTTATTTATAGACAGTAGATTATAATGCCTTTTTCTCTTAGTTTTCATTCCTAGTTGAGTGTGTGTGTGTAAAAATTTTTAGAGTTAGGTATTACAAAAATAAAAGGTTTTTATTTATAGTCAAAATACTTGTTGCATTAATCTTAGGAAGAAACTCTCCGGTATTAAACAGCTAAAGTTATGTTTATTTTAACTTTGATTCAGCGGCACCTTATAAACGTAAGAAAAAGTGTGCTGTGTGAGGATACCTCATATATCTATGTTTGGGGTTTTTTTTTCTTTGTCTTTTAAAAAAGTATATGGAAAACAGGCTTATATTTGTGAATGTGTGTGTTTGTGTGTTGGAGTTGCTATGGCAGCTTCTAAACTTTATGCTGTTCAATTAGATAAAAGACAGTTAATATATATGTATTTGATTACAGGTGTCCCATTTCCCAAAAACTTTATGTCTGTGGCAAAGACCATTCTGAAGCGTCTGTTCCGGGTTTATGCCCATATTTATCACCAGCACTTTGATTCTGTGATGCAGCTGCAAGAGGAGGCCCACCTCAACACCTCCTTTAAGCACTTTATTTTCTTTGTTCAGGTAAGTTGAACCATGTTGACATCTTTGTCCTTTGACTTGGACTCATTTGTTAATTTTAATACAGAGTAATTTATGGAGTTGTCTAATTTATAGATGTAGAGCAAAGTATAAGCAGAGCTCTCTTCTCT